CTCCCTTTGCAGTCTCTGATATGCCTTACTTGTTGCTATGTTAGGAGTTTATTGCCGCTACTTGTTATTAGCTATTCAAGTATGAAAATATTCATATTATTGCTCTCTCTATATCTGTTGGCCTTCTTTTCATTTAGTAGACTTGATATACTTGTGCCTAGTACTTCTGCATTTTCTTCATAAGCTTCACTTTCTTGAAAACTAAAGCCTAGTTTAAATAGTAAAGCTTTCACTTATCACTTCTTTCTTTAAAAAATTATCATATTCACATCATTTATATTTGCCATTTACATGTTTTGCAATACAGGTATGAATAATAATTGTATTCATCACAAACCTTATATCCATACTTCCACTCTCTAAAAATATGCTACTTCTCAATATAATTTCAACTTTTTTGATTTGTAAGTATATTATTCATTGTTATATTAACAGAAAAAAATATGTGGCTAAAATTTTACCGTTATGTATCATAAAATGCTTAGACCAGAAATATATATATACCAGATGCAAATATTTTTATTTTTTAAGAGAGTGTAATACTAGTGTCATGGTTATACTAGGTGCAGTAATAGATACAGTAAAATGTTATTTTGATTTTTTCATAATGTTAAGTATTACATAATTGATATTTTCCTGACTTAATTTAAAAATAGATAATGTATTAAAAGAACTAATTTTATTTATTTTATTTTCATCTATAGCATCAAAAAAATAAGATATTTTTTGAGCTCGCTCTGTTTTTTGCATAATGCATCATCACTTATCTCTTTTGAGAGTTGGCTTCTAACTTCATCATTTACTAGGATTTGAGCAACTTGTTTTTTGTGATTTTTTTTATATTATTTAAGATATTTTTTAAGATCATAGCCAAAATTATAATAGGCTCTAATAATATCTTAAATAGCTTTTTTATTACTATCTTCAGCTTTTACAATCTGATGATATAAGTTAAGAAAATCAACTGACTCAGGATTATTTTTACCTGTAGGTATTGAACTTGACTATGTAATAATATTTTCTGTAGAATCTAAATTTTCAGTAGTCAACTCATCAATTAATTTCTTTAGATTTGTAGGTTCTTTTTTATACCTTCTTCATATAATCTTTTTTTAGATTTTGGTTTAACAGTTTGAGTTCATTTTGTATAGTCTAGAAATAATGAGAGATCTAATAAGGTAGGGTTAGAAATATATATTGTATCTGAGGTTACTATATTCTGGCTCTGATCAGATACTATTTGTACTGTTTGTGGTGAAATTTGTATTAGGTCCAAGGTACTTTGCTTAGAAGTGCCAGAATGCACATAATCAATAGATTTAATTTCTATTGCACATTTAGAGCATTGCAGGAGATTTTTTATATAATTCTCAAGACAACTATAGTAGTATATATGTCCATAGATAAGTGTCGTAAATAGTTTTTTAAGTTCGTACAAAAAAAGCTCTTCTTTATACATTGAGCATAAGTCTAGTTCTGAAACTCTAATATCTTTTGCAATAGCATCAGATGAGCTATTCTTAAGAATATTCAATTCAAGAGTTTTGAGATATGAAATATTTTTCAGAGTTGGGTTAGTAGACATATTCAAAGATAAAAAATTTTACAGTTGAGTGTTAGAATACAGTATAAAGGATTATAAATAGATAAGTATTGCAGTTAATTCTATACTTTGCTTATTTTTATTTATTATATACTTTCACAACTAACAAAACTAATTTGCAGATTAAAAAAACAATTTCAGATTAGTGATCTATTTATTCATGAATTATTTAGTATGAACTAAGGACTAATCGATCTACTGGTAATTATGGAGAAAGATCAAAAGGCTGATCATAGTAGAGCTAGATATAAAAATCGATGATAGATGGGACATGGATGTCTCAGAACAAACTCTAAAAGAAGTGTTCCTAGGACAGAATGCAGCTGAGATACTTAGCAGGAGAAAGCTACATATTCGAGGTCTAACAAGTAACCAGCTTATAATAAGCATCAAAGAAATATTGGGATCTGCCTTCAAGAACAATAAGGCAATAAGTTAGTTCTCTGAACTATTCTGGTCTATTTTCTTCGAAAAATTATGGAAATTTCGTTGTGAAATTATGCTAGAATAGAAAGAGAGAAATAATATCAAGTTTAAAGAAAAACAGAAAAAAGCAAAGCGAAAGCATAATAAACTCGAAAAAAAAACATAGCAAATAAAGAAAACCAGAATTTAAGCAGAAACAATGATGAAGAATCAAGTAAAGGCAAGGAGAAGAGAATTCAAAACCTAGCCAAAGCTAAAGTAAAGACATGGATTGAAAAAGGCTTAAAGGAAAGCTGGTTAAGTTTTAAAAATAACTAAGGGATCTTGAATAGGTGCAGAAGAGCCTTCTATAGATCACTAGAACATGAATTTGCTTAGGCAAACTGCTCTAGTAGGAGGAAAATCACTTTTGCGGCTAATCACACTTGGGCACCTAGAGCAGCTGAGTGAGTTCGGAATTAGAAAAAGAAGGCAATTATATAGCTAATATAGATTAGTTTTATTTTTGTTGTAACATCATGTATGTTTTCTCTTAATAAATAAAGAGCAAGATCGCCTAAGTTAAAAAAAAAAAGAATGTGATTAGTACTTTATTTAGCTCTTTTACTTTCATAATAATCTTAAACAGAGTAAATACTTTACTTAAGACCTTCACTTTTATAATTGTCTTAGATGAGGTTAATAATTTACTAAGTTTTTTTACTTTAATAATAGTCTTGAACAAGATCACTACTTTACTTTGTTCTTTTACTTTCATAATTGCCTTGGATAAGGTAAATACTTTATTTAGAATCTTCATTTTAATAATTATTTTAGCTAAGCTAATATTCTTTTACTTTAACAATAGTCTTAGATAGGATCTACTTTATTTAGCTTTTTTATTTATGATTGTGTTGTATGAGTAAATACTTTACTAAAATTTTAAACAAGACTAGTACTTTAATATTATTATTATTATTTTTTATTTTTTTTTTTATTTTATATAACGAAGTCTATCCTCTAACTTTTTATTATTATTAAATAAAGGAATATATATATGTATATATATACATTTAAAAGAATAAGAGAGGTAGAGATAAGAGCTAATTTACTCTTAACCTAAGCTATGTTAGAAAGGCTGTAGACCTTTAGTCTTTATATAACTAGTTAATAGATAGTTAACTATTGCTGATATATTAGTATATCTTGGATTCAATTTGCAAAGTAGGAATAGAATTAGTAGAAGAGTATCTGATTGCAGGTAGTAGAGCAGGTGTTACTAAAGCTGATGTATATGTAAGTTGTCAAGAAGGTAATCAAATTTTTTCATAGATTGTTTGAATAATTAGATGATATAGTAATGCTATATATTCAGTTTTATAGTGATCTTTTTCAAATGGTATTAGAGTTGATGATGTAATAAATCTAATTAGAACTTTGTTTTAAATATGAAGATATTTGAAGGCAATAATGAAATTTGAAAGATTAGTTATTACTAATTCTGTCTCTGTAGCTAATATTGTTATTATATCAGTAAGAAGTCTGTTAATTAATGAAAAGTTATAAGGACATATAAGTAGATATGCTATTGTTTTAGGAGAAGAGTCACAGTATATGCATAAGTAATTTTTGTATTTTGAAAGGTTCTGTTGGTGAAGAGTTAGATAAGTTAGAAGTTCTCTAGAGATTATTTTTACTTTAAAATTTTTTAGCTTTGAGTATTGTAAATTAGTATACAGAGATAATGATCATTCATCAAATAATAAATAGTTTAATATACTTGTCTAGCAATATCTCTGAATCTCTGAACCTATAGCTGAATTCTATTTTAGTTTATTCAGATAGTACTATTTGTTATTTTCTACATATGTTTGAGTATTATACAAGTATTGTATACATATAAGTTGATAGTAGACATAGAATATAATGATTATAGAGATGTTTATGAGGAGTGATTTCTAATTTAATTACGTGATCTAGTTTGTTTGTATGTCTAAGATCTTTGTCTAGCAATAGCGTTAGATTTAAGGAGAGTATAATTGCTCTAGTTGTGAACAATATATAAGGAAATTTAAATTTTTCTAATATGCTTAATCTATATAATAGAATATTTTGAATTTCTTTGATTAGTTTTAACAGATTTGTATTATTTGTTATAATTGTTATGTATATTCCTAGGAAAAAAATTAATGTAAAGAAAGAAAGAATAGTTAGTGAGGCTTGTAACTAGCTAGGCTAATTACTATTATAAACTCCAATAGTAGTTTTATGATTTGTAGTGAAGCAAGTTGTAGAAGAAAAATTTTTACAAAAGGTATCTTATTGTTTTATAGTAATATATAGTGAATATTGTCATTTAGAGTTATTGCTTTTTTCCGTTTTTTTTTAAACTTGATATTATTTCTCTCTTCCCATTCTAGCATAATTTCGTATCAAAATTTCCATAATTTTTCAAAAAAAATGGACCAGAATAGTTCAAGAACCAACTTATTGCCTTGTTGGTCTTGAAGGCAGATCCTAATATTTCTTTGATATTTATTGTGAGCTAGTTACTTGTTAGACCTCGAATATGTAGCTTTCTCCTGCTAAGTATCTTAGCTACATTCTATCCTAGGAACACTTCTTTTAGAGTTTGTTCTGAGATATCCATGTCCTATCTATCATTGATTTTTATACCCAGCTCTACTATGATTAGCCTTTTGATCTTTCTTCATATTTCTTGATATAGTTGGCATTCTGCAATGTGTTCTAACGATTCTTCTTTTACAAGGCATGCTATACAAGTTTTGCTCTTATATAACTTTGGGTTTCTTTGGAAGCATAGGTCTTT